GACTTAGAGCCCCACTGACCTACTAGCCTGCTGTGGAGCCCCTCTGCCAAGGCCAAGGCCACTTTCCCCTGGCCTGCCTGGGAGCTCCTCCTTGGTGCTCTGGGCCAAGCTCCACTGCCCCCTTGCTGCTGCCTTCACAAGGTGAGGGTGAGGTGGTGCCACCGGCCTGCAGCTTCTGATGGTCATGGGGCTGCCACTCAGCTACCCTGGGTGGGAGGCAGGGAAAACAGCTGCCTGTCTGTCCTCCCCAGGACCCAGAGCCGGGACTGGGGAATGAGGGGTGATTGTCTTCTTGAGGACACAAGGGAGGATATTTCCTAATACTTGCTGCCCTGAGGGGACCACGACAGTGGTGGCCAGGATGAACCAGGCCTCCGAAAAGAAAGAATGAAGCCCTGAAAGAGCCTTCAGCCACCTCTAGAGAGGCCTTTGCTGTATCTTGACTTCTTGCTTCTCCAGACCTGCCCAGGGAGTATTCATGTCTGCCCCCTTCCCAGACCAATACCCAGAGCTTGGTTCCTGGGAGCCAGTCCCCTGCAGCCCCCGCCTCAAAGGGCCAGCTCTTCCCAGAGTCCTCGAGTATAAAGAACATGCGCTTTAGAACCAGCCAGACTTGGGTTTGAATCCAAGCCTTACATTCATGAGCTGAGGGAACACAGGCTCTCTGTCTCAGGTTCCTCACCTGTGAAATGGAAAGGTCATGGAGACTTGTGCTCCAGCCCCACTGATCTCTCCACACTGTGCACTGGGCAGTGTTTTGGACCACGTTAGCACCTCCTTCTGGCCTGCCAGCACTCCCTTCTTCACCAGACCTGCATCCTCCTGAGGCCACTGATACTCAAAACCCTCGAGACTGGCATCATCCCTGCCACTATCATAATAGCTACCATTTATTCAGTGCCCAGTGTGTGCCAGGCACCACGTGACTGCACATCTATTCATCTCTGACAATCCTGGGAAGTAGAGTGCATCAAGTCCATCTGATTGATGAAGAAACCACACCTCTACGAAGTTAAGTAACATGCCCAGGGAAGCACGTCCAAGTTCACAGGTGAAGTTTGGATTCCAGTCCAGAAGACCCTGATTCTCCAAGGCTGCGGTGCCCCCTACCACGCTGGGCTGCTTCACAACGAAGTGTGATGAAAGAACGAATTAGCAGCAAGATGAGACGGTGATAGACTGAATGAGTGAGCAAGGAAACGAGTGAGTTAAAAGTAAGTGAAGGACTGGATGATGGAGAAGGGAAGAAGCAGGTGACTGAGTCAATCTCTGGCCACATGAATACCCCAGCCCGACAGAGCTCGGGCATCACGCAGCAGGGCCGGGAATGGATGAGGGTGTCTGGTGACCCGACTAGACTTTTGCTCCGCTGGGCTCTGTGCATGATTTAATGAACCACTTTAAAGCTGGAGGGAAGTGGGGGGAGCCACACGACAGAGATGAATTTCACCAAATCCAGCACATTTCTTGCGGCCAATTAATTGGGATTTAGGGAGGAGGCCAGGCCAGTAAATCAGGGGAAGGCTGTGTTCGACATTATCTAAGGAGGGCACGAACCGTGCCTGGGGAGTGGGCAGCAGGCGAGAGCCCTGGGGGCCCGGCTCCCCCAGCCTGCCTCCGCCCTGCCTGTTGTGCTGCGGCTTCTGCTATCTGCCTGTCCCTGGACTTCTCCACCTTTCACCCTGGACATGGACAATGGCCGCACCTCATGGGACCATCTGAGGCTAGCGCTCAGCAGTAGGATCACAGATGGCAGCAGGTGACGGCAGGACCTGGGGGAGGGGGTGGGTGACCCAGGCCCTTCTGGGTGTCTCTAGAACTTCTCACAACTTTGGAAGCAGCATGATGCGGAGGAAAAGAGCATGGGTGTTGGCCTCACAATATTGGGTTGGAATCCTGAGTCCACATAACGTTTTGCAGCCCAGGCTGGCTCTGGCCCAGCAGAGCTGAGACTGAATAACTGCCAGGCCATTCGTTCGCTGTGTGCTCTTGAACAAGTTACTTTCCTTCTCTGAATCTCCCTTCCTTCTACAAACGACTTGGAAAATAACAGCAGCAATGGATTAACTATTAAGTGACACCATGAAAGGAGGGGGTTAGCAAAGTGCTTGCCCAAAGCAAGTGTTCGATAGATGTTAGTTATTGTCCTTTTAATCACTGTCACAATGTCCTTATCACCTGATAGAACAGGGGTCAATAAACATTCTCTGTAGAGCACCAGAGAGAAAATATTTTTTACTTCGTGGGTCACATGGTCTCTTGCAATTATTCAATTATGCAGTTGTACCAAGAAATCAGACATAGACAACACCTAAACAAAGGAGTCTGGCAGTGATCATTAAAACCTTATGGGTCAAAAGTTTGACTTTCACATAATTTTCATGTGATACAAAATATTCTTCTTCTGATTTTTTTCAACCATTTAAAAATGAAAAAAAGAAAAAAAAACATTCTGAGCTCATGTGCCGTACATGCCAAAACAGACAGCAGGCTGACTTTTCCCTCAGGCTGTAACTTGCCACCCCTTGAGCTATTATAAGTTCAAGAAGACAAGAAGTTTTGTCTGTTTAGTTCGCTACTGGACTCCCACCCCATGAAACAGTGCCTGGGAAGCAGCAATCGATAAATGTTTATGAATGAATTACAAGCTGTGTGATTCTGTGCAGACATTATTTCACCTCTTTAGGCCTTGATTTCTTTGTCTGTACAATGGGGATACGTGCACACTGAGGCAAACGTCTGATGGAATTAGGCTGCTTGTGGAGCCACTTGGCAAGCTCTGACTGCAGAGCTGGATTACTGTTTCTGACCACACGGGGGCTCCTTTCTGGCACGTCTCCGTCCTGCTCAGTGCCTGGCACAGAGACAGTTCAGGAGTGTCTGTGCACGGATAGTAATCTGACCTAGAGGAGGGGGAAGCCCAGGGAGTGTGACCTTCTGTGCAAGCTGGGGGTGGGGGCAATGAGGACATTGTCCAGAAACAGCAAGGTAGTCTGGGTTTAGCTCCAGGGATTTTGGGGGTGGGGCGGGGGGCACTCTGAGACTATCTATTAAACCAGCAAGGCAGTGAGGTAGATGGGGCATTAGACTCAGAGGGGATCCAAATCCTGGCTCCAATACTTACTATGTGGTTTTAGACGAGTCATTTACACTGGCAGAGACTCAGTTCCTCGTCTTTGGAGACATGAATACAGTGCTCATCGTACAAGGTTCTGGTGGGTTAATGAAGGGATGTGTGTGAGGGGCTAGCTCAGCACTGGGCGCTTAGTAAGTCCTCAGGCGTTGAGCCCCTCGCTCTGCGGGGTGGGGGCTGACTCCCAGGCCAGCAGCCCACCTGGCCTGGGAAAGACGCATTTGTGTATTCTGGCTTTGGAGCAGCCTCAGGAAGATGGAAGGAAACACTGCCTGCAGCCTTCCTAACTGCACGGGTTTTCAGCTCTAAACAAAAAAGACCTGCTGATTTTCTTCCCTGGATTGAAAACTTCCTGCTCTGAAAACTCTCTAAAGCCAAGAAATCCACTACTTTGGGAGGTCTAGTGATTCCAGTCCCTTCTGTTTTCTCCTCCCATTCTTCCTGCCAACCAGCATGAAAGAAGGCAAGAAACAGACCCGTCTGGCCATTTTCCACATCTAAGGAAGAAGAATTTATGGAAGAAGAGAGGATTATTCAGCACATGAAGATGGAAATGCTCATTTACTTCACAGAGTCTGTCTGTCAGTCTGTCTGTCTCGCCACTGCCCCCTCCTCCACTTTGCCACTTAAGTAAGCACACAAGTACAAAGGGAGCACTCAACCTTGTGGGAGGGGTGCACTCTGTCCAAAGAGCTGGCGCTAGCTCCTCCACCACTTTGCTGTGTGGCTTCAGACAAGTTACTTCCCTGTTCTGAGCCACAGCCTTCTTATCTATAAAATGAGCCAATTTCCCATGGACCCTCCATCCTCAGCTAAAAGCACCTCTGAGCCCGTGATTCTGTGACCCTGTCCCACAACCTGAGTAGATTTGAAAGAGGCAGGGTAGAATGTAAGATGATCACCTGTTTTGGAGTCCAGACCAAAGTGAAGAAGCTAGCGGAAGAGGGCAGGTTTTCTGGGCAGCCAGGACCAGACCGTGGGACACAGATGCAGAGGAAGGAGAGCCCTTTGCTTGGCTCACTCTTGTTTAGGCCAGTCACAGGGACAGACTCAAGGTACCTACGCCCAACTCTGCAGGCACCACAAGTGTCACCAGGACATCCCAGGCCTTCCTGCCTCTCTTCCATAAGCATTTTCAGCATCTTTCCTTGAAACGTGGTTGAGAAATCCTCAAATGTCAGCCCAGCCTCCCAGCCTTTCTGGCTTCAGTCCCTGAGGGCCCGTCTGCAGGCGCAGACCCACTCAGGCCCAGGGGGAGGAGCAGCCCCAGTCCTCAATCTGAGGGGAGTGGGGCGCAGCAGCTGGAATCAGGCATCTTGCCCTAGGTTGGCAAGGAGCAGGGCATCTGGACCTGTCAGGTCACCACCTTCCCTCCAGCCCTGGCCACCCCCATCATGTTGACCCATCACACGCTTGGACTCCAGCCTGCCTCTCCCTAACCCAAGCCGGCTTGCCCAGGCACCCGAGCCCACCCTGCTCTTGCCCGTTCTGTCCCCTGAGGAGCTGGGTCCTATCATGAATGAAGGGCCAACCGCCCTCAACCTCGACACCCCTCCCCACCTGACCTGCCTGCCTCCTGCTCTGTTTCACCCTGGACCTGTCGGCCACTCCACCCAAGAAGTGCTGAACATCCCCTTGGTCCCCGCCTCTCCTGGCCGAGCTCCTCAGTCTCCACCACCTTCACGTGTCATCAGTCCCCACAGTCACCACCCCAGCAGCCCCATCTGAAGGATGCCTGGGGAAAGGAGGGACTCCAAGGACGTGCTCCGTGAAGAGGCCCGGATGGCTGCCAGGTGTCTCTCTCCTCCCCTGCCACCCTCCTGGCCTTCAGGGACCTCAGGCCGGGCCCAGCCAGCTGCCCTCTTACCTTCTCCAGCTGGTGGACACCCTCCTCCACGCAGCAGATGGAGGCTAGCGTGCGGAGTGCCTGGGGGTACAAGCACCGGAAACTGTCCTGCCGGCAGACCTTGAAGAGCGCCACGACCCCACCCTCCTGCCGAGAAAGAGAAAATGTCATGTGACCTCGCTATGTGACCTCTCCTGGGGCTGACTCTAGAATAACTGACATCTCTCACTCAGCAGCTGTACTTTGGGGTCTGTAGGGTGGCAGAATATGTCACCCAAAATACGTCACTTTGACTCAAGGATTATTTTGAGCTGTGGGCCCTTAAGAAGAAGCAGACATAAGAAAAGCTCTCTACCCTCCCCCTATTTGCCCAGAAGCAGGACATAAATTTACAAAGATTGTCCCCTTCCTCCCTCTATTAGGAAGGACAAGAGTTAATCACTGGAGACAACTTTAGACCCTTATCAGCCTGAATTCAGCACAGAGGAATCCACATAGCACACTTCACTAACCAGCCTTTATCTACTCTTAGCTTCCCATCTATGTGCCTTCCCACCATTTGCCACGCCTCAGGGTTCACTTTCTTTGTCTTATTACTGTTCTAAAACTGTGTTATTCCTTTGCTAAGATGCTGCATAAGCCCAAGCTCTAACTAAGCCTTTGAGTTACTCATCTCTGACAGGTCCCCTGTGCACACGCTCATAAACTTGGATGTTTTTTCTTTCGTTAATCTGTTTTTTGTCAGTTCAATTTATAGGATACCAGCCAGAGAACCTAGAAAGGTAGTAGAAAGAATTTTTCTTCCCCCCGGTTTCTACGCACACACACGCACACACACGCACGCACACACACACACACACAAACACACACACACTCCCGTGCATGCTGCGGTGAGATACCGGCTCCAGAAGTAATGCCACCCTTCGTTGGATAAACCGGAGGTGGGATCCCCAGATGCTGCTGGGTGGGAGTGCAGGGGCCAGGACAGGCACACGTGCAGGGGCCGGGCTCAACCCCATTCAGCTCTGCTCCCAGACTCCTGGCAACCCCCTCTCAGCAACCACCGTGGAGCAAGCCTGGAGTCGTCTGAAATAGGTTCTAGAAACAAGTCTGAGCAGATGGAGGGAACTGACGCCTAGATGCCCCATGCTGGTCTCACTCTGCCAGAGACCGCCCGTGACTTCTCAGGTCCTCCCTACCACTATGGCAGGCACACAAAAAGGAAGTTTATTTAGAGCAGTAATATAATTTATTTCCACTTTTGGATGGAAAAACTGAAGTCCAGATGGGTGAAATAATCACCCCAAGTCCACACTGGTCCTGTTTAAAAAAACCAAAAGCCCTTTAGTACTGATAGCCAGCTCCTGAGTGCGAGCATGTACTTTTCTTTTCCTTTTGTAAGATCAGTTTATGGAGACACATTTACCTTGTAGCAACTTCCCAGGAGAAATCTGGGAGGACTTCTGGGAAGAATCTGGGAGTGAGGCATCCATCCTAACTGGACATTTTTATTCTATAAAAATCACTGAGCCACTTTAGCTCCCGGAGCAAAATGAGAGAGCCAACAGACCATGAAGGTGACTCACCACGGCGCCCAGCAAACTGGAGACAACACCACCGTGGAGTTCACGTCCAGAGCAGGGAAGGCTGGCTACCCCACACCTGGCTGTGCCCTGTTTCCTCCCTCTCCCCTTCCCTGAGGGCTGAAGGGGTGCGGAGGGGCAGCAGCAGGAAAGAGTGCATGAGCAAGTGGTCTGGACCTGGGCCACAGGGGCACTCGCCTTTCTCCTCACCATTCTCGGTTCTAACTGAGCCCACTGCCCTCTGTTCCCCAAACCGAGAAAGCTATTACAAGGAGAAGGAGGTGGGTGGGTTCAGCAAAATTACCATCCCTTGTCAGATTTTTGAGAACTCTTTCAACAAAAACTACACTCTGAACAGGCACTGTTCTGTGTCCTGGGGACGCAGCAGTGACTGACTGACAGGATAATGCGTGAGTAACCAGAAGCAGCAGCAATGACCACTCCGGCCGGGCACCGCCTCCCTGAAATGTCACCCTGTTTCGACAAAGCACCTCCCCTTCCCCACAGCCCACAGAGATGAGCTCCGAGCCCTGGGCATTCTAGGAGTTTGCTGCCTGTCACTGCAGGGACCAAGATGAAAGTGTCCGACGCTGGGGGGTGGGGGGTGGGGTTCAGATTTCTGACATTTTATAATCAGCCAAGAGTGATCCTCACCTTCTGTATTCCTACCTCCTTTTCAGGGAGCTCATTGGACGGGAAAGGGTCATATCTTAGGACTGGTAAATTCATTCCTGCAGACACCATGCTGGACACCACTTCAGTCCTCATCCACACTGAACTTATGGTCTGGTGGACAGCGTTAAAAGCAGGAAGAAATCTGGGTAGAGGTGTATTGAAACAAGACGGGAGGTGCAGGGATAAAAAGCACAGGGCAGGAACTCCCGGCATAATCTGAGGGAGGCTGTAGGAGGGTCAGAGAGGAGCACTCGGATTTTAAATGCACATCATTACTCCGATATAAATATGCTCTGGTGTGGGACAAGACACTTACCCCTCTGGTTTCTTGCTCCACAAGTCTTTATCCCTGCGTTCCTACTTTCCCACAGTTCTGGGGACATTTGATAAGGGTTCCACATAAAGACCCTACTCAGAGAGTCTCGGACATAAAATCAAATTACTCTTTAAAGTGAGAATTAAAAAACAGGAAACCTATGGTCTCCCCAGTGAGCCTTGCTGGTCATTAATGACCTCCCTCCAGATGTAAATATTGATATGCATGTATGTGTTTAGGTATGTATGCATATGTATATATGCATGTATTTTTATCTAGTCTACTTATACTATATTATACATATAGTATAAATATTATTTATATGTGTAAAATGATAGATAGATAGATGTGGTAGGTAGGAGATAGATATTCACATCTGGAACAGACAATGAAGAAACAGTGACAAAGAAGGGGAGGCTGGGAGCCAGGACCAAGGTGGTAGCCTTCCTTTGGTCCAGGAGACGCTGAGTCCAGCAGAAATCTGTTTAAGCCTCTGTACCCATTTGCATTGGATTCTCATTACATCCTTTGCTAAGCCTGTGAAAATGGTCTTCTCAGCATTTTTAGTTCCTTGGAGAGGAAGGGAGAAATCCTGAACCCAGATTGAGGAGATTCTGGTTCAAATCCTGGCTCTGCTGCTGGTTACCTTTGGCTAAAAATGGGGTCCTGCCAGCTCCATGACTCAGCTGTTGGAAGAAGAACTGAGTTCTTCTCAAGGGTGAAAGGGCCAAGCACTCAGTCCCCGGATGAGGGTCAGGCTATGGAAGGCTTCCTGGTTGGAAGAGTGTCCCAGACCCTCATGAAAGGTATCCCAGGGGCTAGAACCTGTTGGAGGAAGAGGTGAGGGGAAGTGAGATGGAATAGTTGTGTGGGCCACTCTGAAACCCCATCTAGGACCCAAACGCAGCACTCAGCTTAGAGTGGAACCGGGAACTGCCTGAGCTGGCAGAATCACGCTGTTGGCTGGGGCTTGTTTAATTTTATAGAAAGCTCTGGGCTCAGAGCCCAGCTGTATAATGGTATGCGTTATTCAGACAGACGTGGGATAAGCTGTCATAAAGCCAGAGGGGCCCACTCGTGGGGTATGTAGGCTCGTGGGTTGGGGGTGGGACTAACAGAGGAGCTGGAGTTGGGGGGGTGGTTGTAATTTTGACAAAGCACAGGGGAGTTTCCTGTGCTCTGACTCAGGAAGGGATAGGATTTGCTACTAGCATAGGGAGAACTGGGTTTATTCCTTGGCCTTCACAGGAACCCAAGAGGATGAGAGGATTGACCTCAGACAGGTTGCCCAAATCATCTCATGGAGGCAGCTCAGATGGATAAAGGGCCCAAAGACAGACCACACTGGGCCCCAAGGAGGTGGTGAGGGAGACCACTGTGGGGAGCTGCCCCACATCTGTCACCATGTTGGGCACATTTCCTGAGAATGAAGGATAAGGATGCTGTGCAGGACATACCAGAGACTCCCAGAACCCCCACAAAGCGATTCCGCTGGATGGAATAATCTGGCCGTCTTCCAGGCTGAGAAGATGGGAGTCGTCCCTGAACCTTCCCTCTGCTTCAACCCTCTGTCTGCTCCCCACCAAGGACCGGAGACATAAGAAGGGTGAGATTAAGATTCTGGAGTCAGCAGATCTAGTTAAAATCTCAGCTCTGCATTTAATGTGCATGATCTTCTCTCAAAGCCTCTGTTCCAGCATCTTAAACATGGGAATTATCATTATAACACACCATTAGAATATCGGGAGGATCGGATGAGAGGACGAATGGAAAGCGCAGCACACTGCTTGACATACAGAAAGGACACAGGAGATAAGAAAGGTTGTGGAGAGGGGAGGAGGGCCCTGGAGGAGGGGGCGAGAAGGAGGCAGGCAGGAGGAAGGTGGGGGGCGCTGCTAAGAGGCAGTTCAGAACAGCAAGCAAGAGCACAGTCTTTGCTGCCAAACAGCCAGGCATCAAATTCCAGCTTGGTCACTTACTAGCGGTGATTTTTAAAGCTCCCTAGTGATGCTAATATGCATATGGGGTGGAGAACTTCTGACCCCTCTTTGTCCCAAGAAACTGAAGGGCCATGAGTGGAACCAGAAGTCTCCACTGTGGGCTTTAGAATCATGAAGTCTGAATTAAAGAGACTTGGGTTCTAATCCTGACTCTACTCTTTATCCAATGTGACCTTGAGGAAGTCTCTCAAACCATTTCCTCAACCACAGATGGGAACAACATGGCACCTACTCCTACTTGTCAGGGTGATTTTGTGATTTAAAAGAAACGTCTGCAAGGCATTAAGCACAGGGAGAGCACACTCAAACGTTAGCTATTGCTGTTCTGTACAATTTACTTCTCCCTGGACCAGACTTGACAAGCCCTGCTCATCCAGATCTCCTTAAGGGCTAAGACCAGTGCTTCTGAGAGTGACCATGCCCCTCAGAATCACCTGGAGAGCTGGTTACAGTGCGGCTTCCCAGCTCTTACGCCAGGACCTCAGTGAATCTTGGGTGGGGCAAACCATCTGTGTTTTCCAAACCCTCCCTGAGGGATGGTGATTCAGAGTTAGCACTGGGAACCACCGAGCTGAAGACTTCCTGTGACTGGCATCTTCCTGTGACTGGCATCTTAAGTCTACTGAAGGACATAACTGCTTCCACTTAGATCATCATTCTATCCCCGACAGTAATGTCATTTTTCAAGTGGAAAATAAAAAGCAAAAATTAAGCAGAAGACCTTAGTGAGGTCCTAGGGCTCCCCAATTGCCTGTATTTGCTCTAAGTGTTTGGACCTTGAATGCAGGGGCAAATTGACCATGAAGTTAACGAATTGTAACACCCATGGAAACTGATGAAAACCACTGTTCCTCTCAATTTTGTCTTTTCCTCATGTAGCATTGCCATGGCTGCAGGCATTTTCAAGACCCAGCCCAGGACCTGGGTTAGGGGATATGTTTGGCTTGGGTTTGGTGGGGTATGTGAAGATGAGGAAGGAGGGTTGATATTTATAATAGACACCACGTGAACAAAGATGATAGAGGCTCTGGAGGCACCCTCTTCTTGTCTCAAGTGGGAAATGAAATCAGAGGGACTAGTCCCTATGAAAGATGGAGACAAAAGGCCCAGAGAGGGGAGGTAACTCTTCCAAGGTCACACAGCAAGTATAAGCTAGAGCCAAGACAGGCTTCCTGAGCCAGCTGTTCCCACCAAACTAGCTTTCTCACACTCTCCCCAGGCTGACCTGTGAACTCGGCCTCAACCATAGAACTCACCTTGGCTATGATGCGGCACAAGGGAGCCCCCTCCTGGGTCAGGCTGAACAGGTTCCCTGTGGTGGATTCCGTGGTGTAGATATTGTCCGAGGCATCGATTTTTCTCACCAGTGCCTAAGAAAAGAGAGTAAAGTGTGATGGTCACTCACTCACCTACCTTCTGCCTGTCTTCCTTAGTGGAATACCAGTGGATCCACACTCCTAAGAGGCCCCTGAAATCTACAACCCTGCCCCATCCACTGTCCCACGATGGTGAGGTTCCATCCAGCTTTGGGAAAGACATGAGTCAGGATGAGGTCTGAGCTACTTTTCAGGAACACGGGATAATTTCAAACCCCTGGGGCATGGACAATGAATGTGCCTTGCTCCAGTTAATCAGAAAATCAGCTCTCAACACTGATGGGCTCAGCAAGCACCTTTTTGCTGTTCTGTGGGCTCCTACTGAGAATAGGAACCATCAGTTAAATAAACAAACCATCAAGTTGAAAACTAATAAGTTCCTACAGGTATGACCAAAGAATTTGCTCATTTTGGATGGCCAGTGGCTAATGGCAAACTCCAGCTGGGTGACGGGTTCAGGAGATGAGTCAAGAGAAACACTCTAATAGCAGCTTCCTGCTCAGGGGACACTCGCCTTGGGTGGATAAGCCAGACCAAAATGGCAACTCTGGAATCCTGTCAAAGAATGGGTAGCTGAGAGAGGAATGCCACACTGATGAAGGCTGGACCTAAGGCTGGTGGTGAGAGAGCTGGGAATGTCCCAGCACAGGACCCCGAGAGGCCCAGGAAGACAAGCAAAGGGAAGTCACCAACAAGTGAGCGAAGATTATTCCTAGAAGAGTTTAGCTGATTTCTCGGAAAAAGCTTTTCACGTAGCTTAAAACCGCTTCATAATCAGCCATTTGATTTGAAGCATGTGATTCAAATGATTCCTACCTGCTAATTAATGCTCGTTGCTTAAGTTTCTCCTGGGAGGTGTGGCAATAGAAACGGGGGAGACTTGCCTTTAGGGGCCTTGTGCAAGAAAGTAAGACCTCTGGGAAGCCTCTTGTGCGGTTTCAGTTGCCATGTTTATTTGAAAATATTCAAATAGGTTTGCTTTCAAATAACCCTGCTATTATAGAAAAGACACAAGGAAATGACGAGACCTGAATTCCAGGGCCAGCTTGCCTTTTTTTAACACAGTATGTTGATGAGGGAGTGTTGATATGATCAAAAGCATGGACCTCAGAGCCAAACTGCCTGGATTCAAATCCTGGCACTGCCTCTTCTGCCTCAGTGCCCCAAAGCACATAACTTAGCCCTTCTACACCTCAGTTTCCTCATCTGTAAGATGGTGGAAACAACTGGCTCTCTCTTATGGTGATTGTACCCATCTCTTAAAGTTGCTAATATATATAAAGAACTTCTAAAAGTACCAGGCACACAGAAGCAAAACAAAATGGCTAGCAGTTATTATCTTGTGACCTTGGGCAGTGGAGATAAACTTCCTATGCCTCAGTTTCCCCATTTGTAAAATGATTTAAATTTTACAAAGGTGGTTTGAGGATTAAGGTAAATAGCTCTTCCTTATTCAAACTCATAGAATTCTTCACACATAGCAACATGCTAGTCTTCTACATATAGCAGCCAAGATTACATGTGCAATTAATCAGACTGTATTAAATATAAAAATTATTCCCTATGATTGGATAGATGTCTCTTATAAGATTTTAACAAAAGGTAAAATTAACCCAAGATTCATCACTGCAAGTCTCTATAATGAATGTGCTTCTTAGAATCCTTTCCCATCGTTACCAGAAGCAGTTATATAAGTGATATCAGTGCTAACACGAAAATGCAGGCTTCATACTATTGGGGTCCTATACCTAAATGATAATTACCTAATGTTCCTGATTAGTGTTTGCACTTGAAGCAAATTAGCATTACGTTAAACTGTTCAAACCCAATGTCTTTTGCAATCATCTGCAGCTATTAGACCATTTATGTCTGAGGATAATTTCTTGTTAACGTCTTTACCCATTTATACCACAATTACACCTCAAAGATGTCTCAGTGAGTCAGCTCTCTGACAATGAAAAGTGGAAAGCACCCTTTTCACCAGGATCAATTTGGAAAAATACAAGATCAAAGGCTCCACGGAAATCATCAAGGCTCTAAGTATCACAATGCGTCAGAGCTGGAAGGGCTCTCCAAAGTTTTGTTCAAGATTTCCTTCCAAGTTGAGGAAATTGAGACACAGAAATCTGACCAAAGTTATATATGTGGTATGTGGGAGAGTTAGACTTTAACCCCTGTGAATCCAACTTCCTGTTTTCCAAAGTCAGTGAATCCATGTCTCTCAATGCTGGCAGGTCCTCACAGGGACTAGTGGAGACAGAAGTCTCAAGACAAGGAGAAAATCCAGCCTCATGAGTCGCCGTCACCATGCAGCACAGCTCTCCACCCCGGCTTCCATTAGTATCTACAACACTCCACCCTGTGTCCACCAGAGCTTCTGCTGCAGGGGGCAGAGGTGACCGAGAGCCCAGCTCCTGCCTCTCCACATCCACCACCATGTTCCTGTTAGGGCCATACTCCCCCGAGCTCCTCCCAGCCAGCGGGGACTGAGCACGGCAGGGACACCATTGTGAGCCTGTCACTGCAGGACAGGGGACTCCTCTAACAGGTGACTTTGGCTTAAGAATGGAAACAACATAAAGGAAGATAGATCGATTAAATCAAATGGCAAAATTTTTTTTAAAGATAGTCTAGGCAGATATGAAACAAAACAAAACAAAAGATCTTGAAGAGCTGGAGAAAGGGATAAAAAAGGGTTAAGGAGAGGCGCACAACCGAAAGTACTCTAGATGAAGAATTTGAAAGGAGGGATATGTTTGTAATTTTTTCCTCCATCAGAAAGAGTGACTACAGCCCAGTGATATTTATCAAGAGAGATAAATTCTCACACAGAATCCTGGGATAAGTTCCTCAGAAGGAGGCAGGAAAATATTATGAAACCTCTTTCGAAAGCTTCAGAGAGGGGAGGGTATAGCTCAGTGGTAGAGCATGGGCTAGCATGCAAGAGGTCCTGGGTTCAATCCCCAGTATCTCCATTAAAATAAATAAATAAACGAATAAATAAGTAAAAACCTAAATAAATATATTAAGCTTCAGTTAGAGATGCCATAGACAGATCCAGTTAGGGCAGCCCAGCCATACAAGGGGATTGCATCAATGTGGGTAAATTAAAGATGGTCACAAATTCTTTGCTACTCTTCCACTAGAGCAATGGATTCTAATTTCCCCCCTTGTAAATCTGGGCTGAACTCAGTGACTTGCTTGACCAATAGAAGCCAGCACTTGGCAGAAGTAATGTTTCAGGACTTCCAAGACTAGGTCACAAGAAACCTTGAAGCTGCCATCCAGGCTTCTTGGAACATTCTTTTTAGAGTCCTGAGCTACGAGGTAAGAAGTGTGATAACTCTGAGACTGTCATGCTAGAGAAGCCTTGTGTGGGATCCCTGATCAATACTCGCAGCTGAGACCAGCTTTCTGGCCATCCCCTCCAAGGCACCGTGGATGTGATGAAATTTTCCAAGACTCTCTAAACCATCTGCCAGCTGAATACCACCAAAAGACCTCTGTTCATGTAGCATGGAGCAGAAGGATTATGCAGCCAAGTTTCACCAAAATTCTTGACCCTTAAAATTGTGACATACAGCAAAAATGATTGTTGCTGGGGTTGTTTGTTATGTCTTTGTAGAGTTTTGCAATACAGGAAAAAATCACACAGATCAGCATGAAATGGTCAAAGGATTACTAGACAAATTCAAAGGAAAAGGTTTTAAAATAAGGACACAGGATTGCCTGTGTCCCAGGAGAACATTTTGGAGAAACACATGAAGTAGGACACTGAGGAAAGGCACAGAAAGAGCAGACATCCTAAAGAGGAGACAGACAAAATAATAACTGAATCCGGGCTTGGATTAACTACTGGTCTGATGGGAAAATTTCTCCTGGGTGGGAATATCCAATTTAGAGAGGCCGGTGTGGAAAAGATCTCTTAGAACTGGTGGTTTGGGGCAGATCCAGAACTTAACTGATTTCATTTCTCTCAATAAGGGAAATCTGAAAGAGGACTTTGGAAACACAAAAGAATGTGCCAGAAAAGAGAACGAAGTCACAGCGAGAAAGCTGCTTAGATCCAGCAAATAGTGCTCATTCTATGAGTTAGAGAAGAAAAGAGACCTCCATGAGAAGCAGGGTAAACTCTTAGAAATTCAGCTGAGTCTCCCTGAAAGGTGAAGGGAATTCACAGAAGGAAAGAGAAAACTGAAAACATAAGTCACTACTGGAAAAAAAAGAGAGAGAGAGAGAGAAAGATGTAGCAGAAACAAATATTATTCAAGGCTAAAACATTCAAAAGGTAAGGGAAGACGGTGTTTTGAGAAGCCCATGGCAGAGGGATGGGCTTCCACTGGGCCCATAAGGGACCAGACTTCTGGAGCATCACCAGGAAACCCTCCTGAGAAGACAGGGTCTTGAGGCTTAAGTGATTCTCTGACGAGAGGCAGGGCCAACAGCCATCCTGTTACAGAACCAGAGTGCCTGTGTGTCCTGGGTCTACTGTCATTTTCTCATTTAGCCCTACAAGAACTTTCTAAAATATATGGCCCTTTGCACATTTTTAATTGGACAAACAAAACTTTTCATCATAAGTTTAAAGAACAAAGTTAGAAAGGATGTAATTTCCAGCTGACTATAAATACTGACATAAAATAAAAACCATTACATCACTCTTTTAGATATATTCAATGAAATCCAAATACCAAAACAACTTGATACTATCACCACCCGTTTTAAAAATACATGAATAATCTTTCTTAACATTTGAACATTTTGCCTTTTTTCTTTTCATCTTTAAGTTCATATTCCCATTCTAATTCTCCCTCAGAATTTTATCTTAATGTAATACTTTTAAGTTTCAAAGTACTTTACTGATCACCCTTAGCATACTTATCACTGAAATTTGAAACTTTAATTCCTGCGACTATAAGGCTCTACGTGTTTAAAAATAATCTCTTCTTAGTCGAATTAGTGTTACAATTACTATCAGTACACTTGGTCAATAC